GGATCACTATTATTCTTTTGTGAGAATTAAAATGTGGTGCATTTGTAAAAATTTGATTAATTAAGAACTAAAATTGAAATTAATTCTAATTTTTACTTTAATTTGAGTTTCACATATATATTTTATTGTATTCAAACAATGTTTGTTGAACTTTTGGAGTGACATTATGAGTCAAAAATAATGATGCTAAAATTTTCATCACTATGGATGCAGAGGGAACATGAATGTCAAAAATATCATCTAAGTCTGGCATTACTTGTTTTATATAATTGCTTTTTTTGAAAAAAAATAAGTATATTTATTAGGGGCATTTGCAGAGTGGATTTGGAGTGAATTTGCATCCAATCTGCTAATTAAATGCGAATTTGAAATTTCTTATCTACATCTACATTCGCAAGGGATGTAAATCTAATAAAATTAGATCACTCAATGGTACAGTAGATTTTAAGTTTAAAAAATAAATTAAATTATAATATAGTAATTTAACTATTCAAGCATTCAAAAATCAAAATCAATATAGTATGTAGAGTGAACGAGCGTTAAACTCATTCCATGCATAATATTTAACCACCATCATTGTGTTATGTCACCTTTACTCAAAATCTTTAGCAATTGATCCACAAATCTCTAACACCACCAAACAAGAAAGAAAGAATAGAATTTATTCGTTTTTTTTTTTCCTTTGACTTGAGCGACATTCTCATACTTAATATTTAATTTAAATCTAAAAGATTCAATGTTATATTTGTCATATCATATTTCTTTAGTAAATTTTATAAGTTCATCAGGTTAATTTCATTCAATTTGTTAAATTGTTATAAAAAAAATTGTAAATTAAATCCATTTTCTATTAGCCTAAAAAGTTCGTAAAAAATTATGTATCCAATTGTTCATCAAGATGTCAAAACGAAAATAATTTTTTTCCCTACCTCTTCTATTTCGTTTATACTTTTTTTTTTTTTGTAAATTAAAATATATTTTAAGGTGATATTAGTCGACTAATATTAGTATATTACTCCAATTACGTAACTTGTTTAATTAATAATATATTTACCTTTCAAATCATTCTTCCAAAAGGCTGAACCCCAACCCTAAGGCACCCCCACACCCCGACTCGACAGAGTACCTTTCAAATCATGTTTTAATGTTAGGTATAGAAGTTCGTGAATCATGTGTAGAAATTACTAGTGTATAGAAAAAATTATATAAAAATAATTGCTCATCCAAGAAATAAGAATAAATCTCATTATTTTTTCATTTAAAATGATGAACAAATGAATATATAGACATTTAGAACGGTGGTGGTATTTACGTAAATAAGTAACAATTTGATAGGACATTGCGTGTATTTACTTAAAACAGTGTGTTAGGCTTCCTAATCTTAAAAAGACGTGTTTGGTGGATTGGACCGAAAGAATGTGAATTTCTTTAAAAATGAAGTTAATTTATCTCAAATTGATGAATAATATTTTTTCTTTTTTACATGTTTACAAAAATGTCATTTCCCTTTTGTATTTAAATAAATTGTGAAAATTTTCCAAAGCAATGTTTTTTTTACCAAAGTGTTGTTGATTTTCACCAAATTAATGTTGGTTTTTTTTTTTAATCAAAACAATGTTATTTTTCTCCAAAATCATTCTTATTTTTTATACAGATATGGATGATTTTTCATCTTGTCAACAAAATACTCCAAGTGAGCCAACTGATGTTTGGTTATTAGTACTTAGTAGTGTGTTTAAACTTTAGATTGTTATTTTGTTATATAATGTTTAGAGTTTTGATTTTAACTATGTGAATATGTATATATTGTTTGGTACTATGTTTGAAAAATTAAGAAATCTTAAAAATTGGGGTTCTTAAACCGAACCGAACTAATGTTCAACTGAATGGCATCATTTTTTTTTTTAAACTGAAATACTGAAACCGAAAAAAATCGAATCGAATCTCGAAACCCCTACCCCTAGTGTAGTACTTAACAGGAGAGTATTGTAATGATGTTACATTTGATTTTCACACTGAATGCAAATTGTAATATATACACCAAAAAGAAGGGAAAAAAGATTCTTATTTGTTTGTAATTAAAATGAGATGATATTATTGTAGAGCATATAGGTAGGTTTGTTGAATAGCTTGAGATTTTTTCATCCACGCCCCTTATTAAGCAATGACTAATTCCATATTAGAATATGAATATAGATATTGATGCTTCAAAAGTAAGTTATCAACCAATAAATTAAAGGAGAACATGAGAAATATATACTAGCACATTTCAAAGCAGAAAATAAAGTAAATATTTGGTAAGGAAATACAGATAAGTTCTAATATTTTCAAATTGGAAAGACTTGATATATTTCAGGGGATTGATATTTTGAATGCATTCTCCAAAAGAGCCCACATCTTTACTAAGAGATTGCTGATCATTCCAGAAGCTTCTAGGTGTTATATTTTCAGAATGCTCAATATAATAATTACTTTCTTCAATTCAATTCCTGGTACTTGACAATATCGATCTTCAACCTGAATGATATATAAAAGTTGGAGCCTGGAGGTGCACAGATATAGAATAGCACTAAATCATATATATACCTTAATTATGTTAGTTAACTCAGCTCCAACATGGTTTGGGATGTTACTTCATTCATGAATTACACAGGAAATGTCTAAAAATATAATTAAATGTGGGCAGTTCCAGCTGGTATTAAAAAGTGGAAGCTTTAATTTGATCCCCTAAACTGCATGTGTTTGTCATTATACACAAATGCCAAATGTTGACTATGCAACATGGAACTAACATGAAATGGATCGGATCGGAGCCCATTATATATAGTGCATGTTTTCTACCCCAACTATATAAAACTCATATGTTTCAAATTAAATTGGACCAATTACAACATTTGAAGAACGTTAACCCAGCCCAAGGATATATAATGATATACTTGAGATTAATTGATACCTCTTTCATCTTTTTTCTAGTTAAGGTGAAGAAGAATCGGCTATCAAGTAGTCATGTGTGGCAAACAATAAGCAAACTTTTTGAAAAAAAATTATCATTAACTTCATTGCAAAGTTATGTATTACTTCACGAAACTAATAATTCTTTTTTGAGATATATTTTTTAATTCAAATTTTTATATTTAATAAAACTACGTTTAAGGTGCTTCTAAATAGTTTAAATATATACTATTGAAAGTCAGGCCATTAAAGAAAAAAAAAGTTAATACATAATTTAGTCTTCTATTAGAATGATTTTTTTTTTTTTTAATTTAGTCATAAACAATTTTTTTTGTTTAATTAAGTCCTCAATTTTGATAGTTTTATCCAATTGAGTTCTCGGCTCTTAGAATCAAGAATTAGATCAATAAAAATCACTGTAGTTGATGATGACTAAATTGGGTAGAACCACTATAGTTGAAAACTAACGTAACTTAGGAAAAAAAAACTAGTATAGTTAATATGGGATATGAGATGAAGTAGAAGGGTAGGAACAAGGACATTCTTGTAATTAGTTGAGGCAGGTTGTTATAGTCTCTTTCTTTAATCTCTCTTTATCACCTTCTATATATAGTCTGCATCCCTTTCCAATGCTCTCATTCTCACTCATCCCTTACTCATCCTCTCTGCAACTCTTCCAACAACCTCATCGCTGCACCATCTATCTATCACACCTTTAATTTGCTTTGTATTAGACAATAATGTAGAGTCAAGATTCGATCAGTTGAGACAATAATGTACTTTTTGTTATGGTACACATAACACTGTCTGTATGGACTATGGTTCACATAATAATTTGTTGAATATATATTATCTTGTAATGAATTATGAGTGTTTAAAAAAAAATTAGGATAAAAGTTGGTCAGGAAATAAATTCTTTTACCAACTAATACCACAATTATTATATTGAACACAAAATCCAATAGATACAATACTAATTTATTGATACCCATTTGGCTAAGGCTATTATTAGGCAATTTATATCATGTACCAAGGGCGCATTGCATCGTGCGTCCTGATTCAAAATGACGTCGTTTTGCTGCGTTGTGTAACTTGTGTTGGCGGTTAATTTTCTTTAAAAGAAAATCTCATGTTCAAAAATGTACATAAGTTTATATTAAAATACACATAATTAGATACATGAATGTAAATAATTATATAACAAAATACACATATATATATATTTTTTATAATTTTCTAATTCGGATGTATATATTTGTATAAAAAATGTACATAATTGTATAAAAAAATACACATAATTGTATAAATAATTACACATAATTGTATAAACAAATACACGTAATCACGTCAATTCTCTACCACGCCTCGCAAAACGACGTCATTTTGAGAGGCGCGGAATGCACAGTGCTATGTGCGTCGTGGTGCAGGATATAACGATTGCTATTATTATTATTATTATTATTATTATTATTATTATTATTATTATTATTGGCAATAGTTATGCTGTGCAACCGAATGTACCATGCGCATGGTGCATACGGTTCAAAACGACGTCGTTTTGATTAAAAACGCGCGTCCCATTTTAAAAAAAAAAAATCAGGTTCGACTCTCAGCAATAGTATTATTGTGGATATATAGTTATGAGTGTGGTTATATAGTTATGAATTTATGGATATTTAGTTCATTCATTGTGGATATTTAGTTCAATCATATATTGTGGATATTTAGTTCATTCATTGTGGATTTTTACTTCATTCATTCATTCATTGTGGATTTTTACTTCATTCATTCATTGTGGATTTTTACTTCATTCATTCACTGTGGATATATAGTTATGAAATTGTGGATATATAGTTATGAAATTGTGGTTATATAGTTATGAATTTTTGGTTATATAAAAATACTATTGCCGGGAATCGAACCTGATTTCTTCTCTAAGTGGGACGCGCGTTTTTTTAACCAAAACGGCACCGTTTTGCAACCGTATGCACCTTGCAAGGTGCATTCGGTTGCACAGCATAATTTGCGTATTATTGGAGACCAGATCAGATCCAAAAGGAGTAATTTATTCATACAAGAGCATATTACTCATACTACCTAACAAGGCCCAAGTTAAGGATGCCCCAAGCATTTTGCGGCCAAGACTTTTGTTGGGCCTTCATGACCAACACTCTGGCCCAAGAAACCCAACCCTCCCAAGACATCCTCTTATCCCATGGGCTCCCCCACTCCAATATGAGAGTCAGCCCATTTTCAGCCTCCTTCTTCCCCTCCTCAAATCTCCCCTGGCCCAAATAAATCTGGCCCAATACTACATGGGCCTCACCCACAAATGGGTTCTTCTCAATGCTCTTCCTCAGCCTCTCCTCCGCCCAATCCATTCCCTTCTTCGCCCCTTCACAAACTGCCTCCCAGTATAGATCCCGTCCCGATATCTGATCCCCGGCGTCCACAATTCTGGTGCAGAAATCGAACACCGGTGGAATCACAAGCTCGATTTCTTCGTCTCTCTCCGATTCAAACGATATTCCGGTTTCTCTTCTCCTTTGTTCCGTGTAAATCTCTTCTTCTCGGGCTATCAATTGGTAGATTCCGCCCATTCGTGACACTGAATTCACCCACAGGCCGGGTTTTCCGTCGCCGGGCCATAAACCTGACTGCACGTCGTTGCCGGAGAATTCGAGCCGGCCGTTGGAGTTCTCGAACAACCCGTCCTGAAACCCGAACAGCTGGTCGCTGAAATCCGCCATGGTCATTAGGAGGAAAATCGCGACGATTCTCCTCGATATGGCGATGTTTTCGCCCGTCTTGATGTGCTTCACTGTGATCCCGCTCGCCGGTAAGACCGACTGGAGTTTCTTCCTCCACGTCTCGTCCTCGTTAAACACCCCCTTTTCCTTGGCGTTCTTCAGGGAGGCGTGGGAGAGCGCGAGGTGCTGTGTGATTTCCGAATCGGTGTACTTGAACAGGAGGTCGTCGTGGATGAGGGGCTGGCGGGGAACGACGCAGAAGAGATGAATCAGGCGCTCGGCGGCGTCTCCGACGTGGGCGCGTACGGTGTCGCGGCCGGTGGAGGGGTCGAAGATGGCGAGGTTGACGTAGGAGTTAGAGTAGGCGGAGTGGAAGAGGCCGCAGAGGCAGACGGAATCCGGGGCCTTCCATAGCTTGAGTATCCGGTAAATGTCCATCAGGTGTTCGAGGAAACTCCCGTGCTTATGCCAGCATTCCCCGGCGCCAACGGAGCGCAGGACGGCGACTAGAGAGGGTAGCTTCTCATCAACGTTCTCAAGCTCCCCTCGGAGGAAAGGGCGGGCAGCGCCGAGAACGGCGGCGAGGTAATCATTCTTCTCGGATGAGGTAGAGAGTGAGGACGGCATTTTGGGATAAGACGGAATGGTGAAGAGCAAGTGAATTGCAGAAAGTAGGGGACTCATGAGAATAGTTAAATACAGAAAACTCCTTTCAAAAAAAAGAAGCTAAATATAGAAAACTAAATTTCATTGGTGGGAATGACGTATTCACTTTTGTTGTTATTCATTTGTGGATATGGATGCGTTAGAGCAAAAGGAATTAAACACGTCTTCTCGAATGCAACTTCAATTATAGATATTTTTTTTTAATTTTTATTATTTTTGTTTTTGTTTTGTTTTGTATTATACTCCCTCTGTCCCATTTTGCCTGTCCTGTTTACTATTTATTGGTCAATTCAACTCTTTCTTCATTGCTTATTTTCTTTAGTAATTTTTAATTATTTTTAAATTTGATTTTTTTATGTTTAATAGTACCTTTAATGTAGTTTCTAAATATATAAATTTTATATACTAAAAATAAATTTAATATTATAAAAAATTGAAGTAAAAATAACTTCAGTCAAGCCTCGTTAACCGAACCAGACAAACAAAATGGGACGGAGGTAGTATATGTTAAGTTAATACAAAGTATATACATTTTTTTTTGACTACTATTGACCTTATTATATGTAGTATGTTCTTTTTTTTTTTTTTTTTTTTTGTAGTGTGTTGAGGTTGTAGTGCGTTATCTACAATTTTAATAAGAGTGAATATTGTTAGACCCTTAACGGGAACAAAAAAAAAATGTCAGTACAACACATGCTCAACAAAATTGTACTTTGCGCTTATCTAATTGTACAATGTCAACTTAAAATCCTAATATAACCTCATTCTTCTTAATTTTACCAAAGAGTCAAAGGAAGTTGCGCGGTGGCAAATCTGAAGTTTACGTGAAATTAAATGGCAATTACGAGAAGCACAGCCGACAGAGAATCCAACGGAGAAGCACAACAAACAAATTAGGGCAGCAATTCGGAGAAGCACGGCCGTCCGGCGGACTAAGGAGAATTACACACCAGCGACTAAACAAATTAGTGCAACAACACAAGGCAGCAGTTCGGAGACAAATTATGTACAATTATGCAGAGATTGAATTACATATATTTGAGAATTTTCCCTTTTTTAGGGGGTGTGGGTGGTGTGTTGGATTTTTAAAGTGTATCATACTGTATTGTTCAGTGATTTCATTAGCTTGCTGATGACCTTACCCTAAAGATATGGAGTGCTGACATAGCAAGATAGCAAGATTGTAGTGTGGTGATGTAAATGCACCTTGGTGAGTACGATGCTAATACTGATTTTGGTGAGTGGTGATATGGCCCTGCTCCTAGAAGTACATTTTTTTACTTGTTTGCCTCTGAAAAGAATTGCTCTGACTTAAATCAGTTTAAAAACTGTGACCAAACTTCTATAGATTTTCAAATGCTAGATGCTAAGTTACTGCTCTCATTTGATGAATTTTTTGTATATAAAGAAGGCAAACTTAATATTGAAACTCTCAACGGGAGCAATCTATTGGTCTTATTGACATGGTTTGAGTCGGTTGAACATTTCATCATGTTTGATGTTTATGATCGAAATGCCCCCCTCCCCACTCCCTTTTGGTAATACAACAGTATTATGACCTAATTGATTCAGATCATAGCAGGAATTAACTAAATTTGCATAACTACTGCTGCCCTTGGCAAGACAAGCTGATGAATTGGATTAATCACAAAGTTAGCTTTATATAACTGGTTTATCTTATGCTCATTATCTTGTAAACTTATAAACTTTCCTTTCCAATTGTTTTTTTTTTCTTTCAGGTTAGACAGGTTGACATATCTGGTGATGGTATTGAATCTCTCATTAATAGAGTAGAGATCTTGTTAGCAGAGGGTTGTGTGCAAATTTGCTTGTGCTTACTTCCTATGAAGGCTATATTAAGTTGTTCACAGATTCCTTGTGCTTGCTTGCTTCCTGTGAAACATATGGTACCTGCCTATTAAGGCTAGATTAATTTATTTTCTTCCAAAAGGATGAACCCCAACCCTAAGGGCCCCCAACACCCCGGCCCGACAGAGCATTTGGGAGGATGTAAATCATGGTGACTCAACTGAAAATGAACCATAGAGGCATGTAGATTAATTTATTTTTAAGCATTGTTTTTCTGAAAGTTAATTTCTTAGTTATTTTTAAGGTGTCTCCGTTCATTGTTTTAATGTGGAATCTCTGCGCCTTACCGTCGTGCGGAACTCCTTATATTTATTTGTTAGATTATTAAAAGTATTTCCATTAATTCATTAATTCTGCTTTTTACGTTTTCAGCTTTAATTTTGATAACTTAGAAGGTTTTAGTGGAGCTATTAGAGAAATTTTTTTTATGAATTTCATCTTTTTGACCAGTTTTATTTATGGTGTTTCCCATCTTTAATTTATTAGTTTGTGTGTGGTTCCTATTTTTTTTGGCCCAATGTTCAAACTGTGTAGTATATACCTGTTTAGCTAAAGCAGTAGCAACCAAATTTGATGATTCTTATGAATGCTTCTGCAGGTAGTGATGAGGATAAGTCCTTAACAGGATTGCTTGATTTGTCTAACGCTAATTTTTGTGCATTTTTTTTTTTTTTTTTTTAGTTCTGGATCATTTCCTAATAGTTTGAGAATATTTTGTTGGAGAAGTTACTATGTCCTTAATGTTGTTTACTCATGATTCCTTTTTGGAGATTATGGGTTCAGGTCATATTGTAATGAATTTCTTAAGGTTTTTTTAATTATGATTAGGAAAAGATAGTCTTTTAATCCTTACTTATGATGAGAAAGTAATAATGCTTAGGCAATTATTATTATTATTATTATTATTATTATTATTATTATTATTATTATTATTATTATTATTATTATTATTATTATATAAAATTGTCTTATCTAAATTCAAAATAAGTTAATTCTGCACTTCATCGGCCAAAATGCTTGTTATTAACCTCTAAACATTATTATGACTAGTGATTGTGATATATGCAATTAATGTTCACCTCTTTTTTTCTCTTCTAGGTAACCAAGATCAAATCACCACCAATTTTATCAAATCCATGATATCCGACAATAATTGACTCAACAATTCTTGAATCGGATTCTTCACAGCAGCATTGGTAACTTATATAAGTATATAAGAAAGTGCATGGGGTTTAGTTTTTGTATGTATATGTTGCCTTTAAATAAAACACCAAAGGGTTTACTATGTGGACAATTTCATACATCGTATCTCAGAAATAGTAGTTTCGAAGGAGATACATATATTTTTTGAGTAAGATATTTGTGTCTATATTGAGTAGCTTACTATTTAATTCTTAATGAATATCCTTACAGTAACAATATATGACTATATGTGCCTAATTTGCGTGAAAATCACAATTCCAATGGGAAAAAAAAAAAAATGTGAAATCAAATAAAAAATTAACAATTGAAATTTGGACAATATTAATCCGTCTTTACTGTGTGAAATTCCAGAACTGTTCTAGTATTTCTACAATTTAATCACCACATCCGCACTGCCCTACTATACCTTGAACGGTAAAATGTATACTATTACATATTTTAACATTTTGATCTCTCTCATTATTATATGAATATATGTTTAACAATTATAAAACACTAATTTAAAAATACACATTGGGCATGAGTCTAATCACGCAAAGTGCAACTTTAATTTGAACAGTAACGAAGAATTGAGTTTTTTTTTTTTTTTTTTTTTTTTTTTTTTTTTTTTTTTTTTTTTTTTTGGAAATAAGAGACTTGATTATCAAAGAATGATGATCTAAAGGGAAATTTGAAGCTGTGGACGGGTCAAATGGGATAATAAGGGGTTTTGGGGTTGAGGGCTAAAAGTGTATGTATTTAAAAATACAATTATTTTGTATGTATTATTAGGGGAACAAAGCATCGTGCTACATTTGATGCATTAAAACTATGTCAATGACTACAATGATGCTACAATTAAACTTGCAAATCTAGAAGCTGCAGAAATTTCTACAATTGCTATTATCCCTACATCAATTGACCCGGTATATAAAAATTAATTTTACACACTAATTCAATATTTTATACGTAACATTAATTTTTTTTACTCATGACAACTTGTAGATTCAACCTGTTTGGATAAAAGGGAAAATCAGCTTAAGCATTAGAACAAAAACACATAGTACATTGCATGAAGGAGATTTGTACGTACAATAGATATCAATGCGCACCGTACGAGCAATGTGGCACATGCTTTGCGCTATTTTTCGAGCCGTGACTGTAGTACCAGAGTTTAAGTTGTTACATATCTTTTCCCTGCTTTTGTTTTTGTTTTTGATTTTGTTTTTTACTTTTTTGTTTTTTTTTGTTTGTTTTTTGTTTTTGTTTGTTTTTGTTTTTTGTTTTTTGTTTTTTGTTTTTTGTTTTTTTTTGTTTTTGTATTTTTTTTTTGTGGCTGTTGGGTTAGTATGTTGGCCGTGGCCAAGTTTGCTGTATGTGTTTAGGGGTGTGCAAACTTCGAATAATTTTCGGTTAACCGACCGAACCGACAAAGTTCGGTTAACCGTTTTCGAACCGAACTTTTTCGGTTCGGTTAATGGTTAAAGGAATTTTAAAGCTTCGGTTAACGGTTAATTCGGTTCGAAAGGTCGGTTAACCGAATTAACCGAACGGTTAACCGAAGTTTTTAATATATATATAAATAATAATCCTATATATAATAAAGCTATATGGTCTTGTGAAAATTGAATGTTGCATTTAATTTTCACAAGACCATATAACTTTAAGATGTGAAAGTCTTCTGAAAATTAAATGGGCTTTAAGATGTGAAAATTACTTTAAGATGTGAAAATTAAATGCAACATTTAATTTTCACATCTTAAAGCCATATGACTTTAAGAAGCATGCATGCAACCCCAAAGTCTATAAGTTTGAAATTAATATATAGCATAGCTATGTGGCTTAATATTTAAGATTGTTGATGTGCATATTGAGGACTACGGAGACAAAGATGCGTTATTCGTGGATTCATCGGATACTATCCAACAACACTCTCCAACTTAATTGGCGTGAAGTAGGCTTAGTAACATTAAGATTATA